ATGCAGAGATCCAAATACCCAGCGATTGAAGTTACAACAGGGGTTGTGTCATTGCCTGTACGCCAGGCCTGTCGCAATCGATATTGCTCCTTTTGCACGGTGAGTGTCCCTCCCATGGTACTAGATTCAGCACTCAAGTACAACCCAGACCGTGGATTGATAATACTTCCATCGTCTAATATTAGCCAGTAAGTGGCCACTGGTACTGCAGTGGCACAATCAAATATCATGACATAATTCCCTGGATCAGAACCGTAGGTGGTTAAACACTTTCCTTTGGACCTTATTGTCTTGTCACGTTTCAAGGTCCACAGCTGGTTCTCTTTAAGCTGGTCTTGGCATTTCCACATTATGATAGGATTGCCATTGTTATAGGCATTGTCAGATACATCTACGCACATCCCATCTCGACCAGCAATGCGCACGGTTGGTTCAAAAACATCGCACGTATCTGATTTTTCCACAATTGATCTTATTAACAGAGGTGATTGGTTTGGATTTGGATTGCAGATAAAAAGCATCAGTGCTATAACTGCAACAGTTTGGTGTGACAAGGAATCTACAATAACAGGTTCGTGACGAATATTTGTTAACCTGACAGCGTTTGGAAAAGTTCCTTGAACTGATTGTTGAACACCTCCTGACAGACTATCCCAATTGTTCTCCAAACTTAACATGCCAGGATCAGGTCCAAACGCCGTGCCAGTTCGGATGCTGACACCAACCCGGTTTGATATGAACCTAAATCGAACTGCTTCTGCAATCATTTGGATTATTACGATTAAGGTATGAGCTCTTTCTTCATTGTCATCGGCCCCACTTCGTAGAAACGATATCGCATGTGTCAAGGCTTGTAACCCTAGGGCTATTTCCTCTCTATTCTGATGAGCCCAACTCTCTAGATCACCGTAAGCACCAGTAAAAGGAAGGGTATGCGGCTCCGTGTCAGTGAAAAGGTAGGTAGGTGCAGATTCTGGGGCATCACTGAGGAAATAGGACCGAGTTCCTGCTCGGTATGCTACAACATATACATTAGTCACATCGATACCTACTTGGATAGATTCCGTCTCCGAGTTTGAGAGTTCCACTGTAAGATATCGATTTTCTGCTGCCACTGTTGTTGGATTTCGAAGTACAGGTATGTCATGTATCCGGTCACCTGTTAGTGTTTCTCGAAGTGCTTCAATGAACTGCTTGAAGCTTTTTGAAGTCGCACCTTCGGTAGTAAATTTAATGGGGTCATCATTTGCTGCCGCACATCTCAGTGCAGAGAATGAACAAGCAAATGCAGCACATAAAATCAGTAGCTTCAAAGTTTCGTCCATTTTGAAACTGCATGCAGTTGCACCAAATTTTATTTATAGGATGTAATCAAAACTAAAACAGTAATTCAAATTTAAAACCGTCATACTCCTAAAATCTGTAAACTTATAGACCTGAACCTATTTTTGGAGTGCCTGGCATAGTAAATAGTTGCCTTTGGGGCCCAATTTTTTGGAACGTTTACTCTAAAGGTGGTTGAAACAATTTAATGGTCGTTTTAGGATGATGGCAAATGAGGCTTCCGCCATAGATACGTAGCCAACATATTTAACCCAACAAGACCTTTTATGATTTAAGCACGCTAATGAATTTCAGCAGGTTTTACCGATATCTCTATCAGATGAGAAAGAAAATCAAAGGATAAGCCTTGTATCACAGGCAAAGTCACAATTTTTTCACTTGTTTATGTATATCAAGAATCAAAAGAGAAAGAGATACCTGTATTCAGATTTTACTTCTCAGTGTGTTTGCAGGATGCTGTGCAATAGCAATCTTTGGAGTGGCTTGAAAGCTGTGGAGTCATTGTGCCTTTTGTAAGCAGAAGCATATAAGACCATGGTTACCACCTCAGAATAAAAGTCATGCATGCCAGTTCATTGGATAGAGTGCATAATTTACATGTGCAAGGGTCTGACAATTTTGGCAATAATGGTTGGGACCTGGTTGATCATATAGCTTCTGGCTAGTTGTGAGGTCATTGTTACTGTGCTGTATTTTTTTTTTAAGATAAAATTTATTGTAGCTTGAAATGTTAAAATTGTTCTAAGTAATTTTTTTAATAATGTAAAATACATGTAAATTTATGCATATTTCTCTCTTTCTTTTCTTAGACATGGGCATGCCAATGTACGGGTGTGTCAGTGTGCAGTAAAAAGACATCACCATAGGCCAGCTCAAAAGATCTCTTATGATGTACGACGGGAATCTTTTATATACATCTTCATTTAATGAAAGATTTTTGGTAAGATTAAGGCGAGACAGCGTGGTATATGTCTAAGGGATAAGTTATCAAACGATAGGTTTTAAATGTTATGATATTTATATCTTAAATTTTTGAAAATTTTGAGATAAAGATATCAAAATATTATATATTTAAAAAAATTTGAAATAGTTTTTGAAGGCAAATTGTTTTTAAAAATTTAATTATAAAGATTTTGAATGTCATATAAAACTCAATTTTATTTTTTCAAATTCAAGAATATTCGGAATAAAAAGTCAAATGAAATTGGATAATATTTGTTTAAAATAACAATATTTTGTTTGATTTTTCTTTATCTTACTTGAATATCACTTATAACATTAGATTTTTTTTTTTTCTAAATTAACAGATAAATATGTTTATCAAATCTAACAATTTAAATAATTGTACTCTTTGTAATCAAACAATCATATTCTATTTACATTATCATATTTTGAATTGTAATCTTTATAAGTAAAATAATTAAATTTAAAAATATTATATAATTATCTCAATTCTCTTAGTAATAAATAAATTGGCTAAATCAGAATTAAAATAATGACCAAAAGATGTGATTGAGTATTAAAAAATATAAAAAAAATAATTTTGTACAAAATTTATTTAAACAAATATGAGTGCTTATTTGAAATTTTAATTTTTTTATAAGCGAGAGCTTAAGTCAAAATGACACAATTTGCTTAAGATTAAAAGTATTTGCTTAAGTTAAATTTATATAGTAATTATTATACAAATTTTTTAAATTTTTCTTAAACTATTATCTTTTGCTTGAATTAAAAATATATAAGAAACCTTTGTCAAATAGCATGCCTTCAAAGGGCCATAAAAAAACACTAATTAAATTATATTACTAAAAAATATTATTTTTTATGATAACTTAAATGAATTGTATTTGAAACTATTATTAAGAAGAAACACATATATAACCTTACTTATTTTTCAAGTGGCAATTTTCTTAGTATCTACTATCTCTCAACTCAACGATGGTTTTTGTGTTTTTTTTTTAATGAATTATGTGTACAATTTTCCAACCCCATAATGCAAGCATTGTTCCTTAATCAACACAAAATGTGTATGTTGTTTCACAATTTACCATTAAATTTTCGTTAAAGTGCCTAGTGTCTTGCTAGTGCAAATTAGATATAGAGTTTTGTTTGAAATGTCAAATCTGTCTAAACGATATATAATTATTTTAAAAAAATATTAATATCTAAAAGGAGAAATTAAATCCTAAAATTTTACTTGAGTGATACATATCTACCTTAAGCTAAATTAAGCATTCAACGTCATGTATTACTATCTCTATTTTACTTAAACAAATTACCCGTTACAAGGAATATTTTATGTTCTACTTCAAATTGTTAGAATCAATATAAGAAAGAGTTGTGTTTGTTTAAAAATGTGCAACAAATTTGATGGTCTTCCATCTTATATTATTTATTGTATTTGTAATAATAATTATTAACTTTTTATATATTAAAATGATAAGAATTGAGTATTTATAAATATAGATAAATATATAAATATTGGTATACAATTATTTTAAAAACCATATAAAAAAACTACTTCTCAATCTTTATTTTAATAATATGGTAAATTTAATATAATTCATTTTGTATAATAAAAAGTAGCATTTAGAGTATATAGTTTAATTGGTTGCTTACTCAGTAAATTCTTTTTATGTTAAAGCTTTTATTGCAAGTTTAAAGTATGTTTAGAAAAATATCTTAATTAAGTGATTATTATTAATCTATTTTATATGAGAAATTTTACCTTAAATTTATATATATAAATTGTTATAAACAGCTATATTAAGAAACTTATCAAATTAAGTAAAAATAAATATATAAATAATTATAAATATTTACAAATAAATAATATATTCACAAAAAGATAATTATTGTCTTTTTTCATATTGACTTTTTACATTTTAAAAATGATATATATCAAAATATGAGATTTTAGAAAAAAAATTATAGAAATATAAAAATTCAAAATTGGTGCAAGCGCAAAAATTTTAATGTCAAAAATCATTCAAATTTCTTATATTGTTACTCTGAAGAACTATTCAATAACAAATTAATTCAGTATAATATTTTGTTGAAATTCAATCTATTAACAAATTATATCTTAAAAAAAAAGACGACGAAAGAAATAATATTAAAAAAAAAAGATAAAATCTTTTACATTCTAACATTTACATCAAAATATTAAAAAAAAATTATGACATTAAAACTTGTTAACATTTAACAAAATAATTAAACCCGTATTGTTAAAATATCCTCACAAAAAAAAAAGGCTTATGACATTAAAAGTTGGCTTAAGTTTACATTTAACAAAAAAATTAAACCTGTATTGTTATTGTATTAATCAAACATAAGTTTTGCACCTAGAAATTGATCAAATTTAGATGGATTTAAAATTTGAAACTAGTAGAACAATATTATGAAACTGAAAACATCTGAAATTGGAATGAAAATTTCTCTTAGTCAACAAATCAAAATAATAACGAGATCAGCTATATGAATTATACGATCTAAGTAAATTCAATCAAAAAGAAAATTTCAAGATTATTTATTATAAAATCTCTTAATAATTTTTTCAAAGTTCTTTTTTGGTCAAAAGCCAACAGTTCGAAACATCAATAAATCATTTTCATTGCAAGTCATAAAAAAATGCTATACATAAGATAACATTATACAATATCAGTCGTATCTTGCCAAATAATGAGGGGTCCATGGGCATATTATGAGCACCCATTGTACGAATCATACTAGCAAATGCCCTAGTTGTCTATTTTATATATATATATATATAAACCAAATTCTAATAGAATACAAAAACCAAAATATGGATTCCCTTTAAAAATTCATAGACGTAATAAACTTGACAAATCAAATTCCTTAACCACAGGCAAACAAATTGGTAAAAGGCACGGACGTTTGCTTGTTTGATCACCAATGAACGCAACCTGTGTCACCATAGCAATGATTTTCTGTGATCAACGTGACATTAGGCATGGTGTTTTAAGCTTCCATGGACTTCAATTGTCAGGGGTAAAGATACACCATTGCTTTGGCATTTTACGTACTGCATTTCATAGCGCGGCGTGGCAAGGAAAGTACACTCTCAACATCAAATCTATTTGCCTGATTCATTGTTTAAGCCTCACCTGGAGAATTAGATGCACTTGCTTTTTGAAAATAGACCTTAGCTCTTCGTTGGCTTCAATTCCTATTCTCCTGTATTTAAATAACATAAATATAAACAAAAGTTCGCAATTTCCAACATAATGAAAGGCCCAAATAACCGTTCAATTGAAGGAAGCAGAGAATAGAAATGAATCCGAAGCTTCCACTCTCGTGCATGTAAGAAGGGCATGCAAGTGGAAGGAATTTTCAAAAACAGGAGAAAAGAATCATCTAAGATGACAAAAGAATCTACAGAAAATGGAATTTTCAAAAACAGAAAGCTTACTGCATGATGAAAGTACCCAAATATTCAAATTTTCAGCAGATGGAAAATGGGCACAACTACACTTAAAAATCTAAAATATATAACAAAATGGAGATATCCCCATTTTTCCCATACGCATTGATCAAACATGAATCACAGCAATCCAATCTAGTGATATCATATTCAAAACAATAGAAGCTGCTAAAATAACAAAAAAATATGTTAAGCTACATAAAGGAAAGGCTGAAGATAGAAGTTACCCAATTTTTGAGCCATTCTTCCCTACAAGAATCTTGCGTTGGCTAAGTTTGTTAGTGACTAAGTGTTGCTCAATCCTAAGAGAACCATCCCGTAACTCTTTCCAGTCAATCAACCTATGTTCAATATCATATGGAATTTCCTGAATTGAAAAATTTGCTAGTCAATATCTAATATTTTAACACTATCGACTAATCTTGAAATATAGTTATTACAAATTCTAGCTATATATTAGAAGAATGAGTGAATGTTCAACAACTACCTGATGCACGTAGTCCAATAACCTTTCGCACACAACTTCTAATGCTATAATCTTCATAACTTCCTCACTCATGGTGAATGGATCTTCTTCCCAGGGTCGTTGAACTGCCTATGCATAACAAACAATTAAAAATCCAGAATTAAATCAGGGATTATTCTAATTAAAAGATATCAGGAATAAATTATAAAAAATGTAATTGTAAAATGTAAATAAATGCATATGCATGGTAAAAAATCAAAGCAATTATGATTGTAAATGGAACTAGGTCTTATTCCACCGGGAGGGGGCAGTCTCATCCTACACCCTAACAAACACATTAGTGATTCCTTAGAGAACTGTTAAATCATTTGTATCAGCAAGTAGACATCAGAAAAACAAAAATCCGTGCCTGCTCCATCAAGTACTGAGTCAGATCTTTCACTCCAGCCCCCTTCAGTCCTGATATCATGAAATGCCTGAATAATATTAAGAAAAATAATGTTATTAGAAGCTAGCTAAAGCATGACAATCGATCAACAGAAAAGTTACAATAACAGTGGCTATAAGTGACTCGAGCATTTCTACAAGAGAACCTTACCTTTCATATCCAGCAAGATCTTTGAATTCTTCAGCAACCTTTAACAAGTCTTTCTTTTTCTCTACTAAATCAATCTTGTTCATACACAAAACTCGCCTTTGATTTGGAACCACTCGAGCACCCATACGTTTGATTAATTTTATCACTCTTGAATCAGGCCTGTATTGATTGAATGTCAATAAGATACGGATGTGCTCACTAATAACAAAAAGAATAAAGAAAATATGCCATCAAAACATAAATCATAACAAGGCCAAAGGTTGAAGAGGAGACAAAAATATGATGACAAGAGATTGCATCTGTTGTGCTAGTTTAACATAACAATCTACAAAAGCCTACTACAGTCTAGAGAGCCAGAAGAGCAGTATATGCCTTGTGGACAGAAGGTATTATAAGTTTGATTGGTGTTGGTAAACTGCTTGCTACCAATGATCCATCAGCACATCAATACATCACAATAATTATTACAATAGTGAGGAATAAGACTTACTGGTAGAACAAGTATACAAATAAGAGTTACCAAACAACCCAACCCAATTGTCCAATCATAAGTTAAACAGCAAAAATCAAATCTTCTCGCACTGGGTGGGGTGAGCTAAAAGGATCAAATGATGCCATAATGCTATGTTATAAATCATGTTTAAAGACACACTTTTGACCTTTAAATCCTTCAGAACTGTTTTGCATTTAGTTTTTCTCAATCTCCCTCTGCTTCTAGCAATCAGACTACCCTCCATCTGATTTACTCTCCTCACTAAGGCTTATACAGGTCTTCTCTACAAGGCTTATAGGATAAATAAAATAGAAAAGTTGGGGAAATTCTAAAATAAAAACTCTCACAGAAATAATATTTGTGATAAAGGAACACTTCGAGTAACTACTAAACCATTTTAAGCTGCAAGTCCAAATTTTTGGGTTTCCCCCACCCAGATTCAATTTAAACAATTTTAACAGGAATTCCTTATACAGAATTCTCGCAAAAAGGTTCAATATAGAAAGAAAAAGATTGATAAGACTCCTACTTAATATACATAATAAATGATTGACTTGGTAATATGTCTATGGACATCAAAAATGACTATGAGCACATCATAGACTATATTGAACCCCAGGCACTTTCAACACGAGCCTTGACATCCCTATAGGGAAATCCACCACAATTCAACATAAGCCCCGGTGTATCAAAAAAACACTGCAAATATAATATGATATGACTATGAGTCCTTAGCTAATTAAAATGAATTATCAAATTAAAACCTATCAAAAAAGAAAGAACAATGAAATAGTAAGAATAAGGATAGAAAAGCAAATCTCCCAAGTGCTAGATGAATATAATCAACAAATCATAAACAAATGACTAAATGCAAGACCAAGAAGTGGTAGGTTGAGAATAATATCAAGTGAAAGAAGTAATGTAGTGCAGCAATTACAGGGATTTATCAAAATGCTAGCATAAAGTTTAATAGGTTTTTTATTCATAAGCTAAATAACAATTCAAGGAAACTGCAGTGGTGGGTTCATTTATTGTAAGCCACAACCTCCTGAAATGCCCTTTTCGTGTTATTTTCCACCATCAAAGTCAATATTTGACTTTTTTTTAGTGTTCAACATACACTTCAAATTACAAATTCATTCAAGACAAATGATATTGTTAGTAACCCAGGAACAAAACAGAATAATCTTATTGAATTGAATGGAAAGAACAGAAAATAGGAGACAGATCACTCCTCCAAGGGTTTCTACCCTTCACAAAGAATTTCTCCTTTCACTAAGAGAAAAAGCTCAATTTATAAACGACCACAGAACTGAATGAATTTCCTCCCCTTTCAGTCCTATTTATTTATGTCACTGACTGCCACTAATAAACTAACTAATATTTTAACTATCTTAACTCCTTCCCCACAGTCATAACAGATATCATCGAAAAACACACAAGTAATGCTGTTGCTCTAATATTAAGCATAATAAAAAAAATGAGTCTTTTCTAATTGAATCATTTACTTGCCTCCAGAAATCATTGTACTTATATTAGGCAATTGAAATATGATGTATAGTTAGCAGTAAATTTGAAAAGTTATTCCACCAGTTACAAGTCACAAATATATTAGCAAAATGTTCTCATCTCACAATGAGACATTTTCTTTATTATTCAGAATGAAATGCATACAGAAAATCAAGTTTTGTTGAAAATTGGTCAAACATAATTTAACAGTTGATGACCAACAAGTCCATTACTATTACTATTTGAATTTGAATACTTTACGAAACTGAAATATAATTGCTATAGATCAAGTTTGTCATACTTAGACCGAAATCTATGCAATGAAACGTCCTCCTTTTCAAAGGTCCAAAGCAAATACAGGTGTTCTTCAAAGATCAAAACAATACCATTAGCAGGATGCAGCCAAAACGAATACCGTTCACAGGAGACAGCCACCCTTATCTAGTCTTCTATGCATAATTATCTCCCTTCTACCCCTTGTATGCCCCTTTTTCTTTTGGGAATAAAGACAAGTCACTTGTATATTCGTAGTGTCAGTGTGTCCTATCAACCATGTAAAACAGGATAAACACTTGATCAAACTCTAATGGGATTCGAATTTGCAGGAGAAAATTGGAGAAGCTTGAGAACAAATTATTGTTTTTTCCAAAACTCCTACAAAATCTTTAAACCTGTTGTGTGGTTTTACAACTGAAAGAAAACATGGAGAACTAGTTGAAATGGGTCTCTCCCTTCTCTCACATGCTTCCATTCCTCCAAAGTATTGGGATCCTTCCTTTTTAACATTTGTTTATCTTATTAACAGAATCTCTACCAAAGGTCAGGTTCCTACACTAAATTGTTTACTCAAGTCCCTAAACTACTTTATATATAAGTATATAAACGGTAAAACTCATGTTAGAAGGATAATCATTGTGGTTGATTCAGAAGATTGTAACAGTGACGAGCCAGGCGAACACAATCGAGCCAGTGTAAGATCTCTGCGTTGGGATCCTTCTCGACCACGACGTCGGAGACCGTAACCTGAATTGCGCCCTGGTAGGAACTGAGTCTGCCCCTCACTCTCACCACCGCGCCGATGTTCACGAGGGCGGCGAAGCGTGCTGCGGCGTCGGCGGCGAGGTGGAGGTCGTGAGGGTTAGGGTGGCGGCGCGCGAGGAAGGAGGAGGAGTGGTGGTTAAGCCAGAGGATGCAGGGGATGAAAGCGGTGCCGTCGTCGATGCCGAAACGCAAGAACTTGTTGGGCTTCATGTCTCGAAGAGTTACGGTTCCTAGGGTTTCCACCAGAGAGAGAGCGATTCCTCTGCGCTGGAACGACGTGCCGTTTTGCGTGAGGGACACGAGATCGAAGCCTAGGAGCTTCACGTGTGTGTTGCGCAGGGCCACGTGCTTCTGCATCTTTCGGGTTTCTCTCTATCATGGTGGCTTACTTATAAGGTACAAAGTTCAGAAAATGGAGTGTTGTCAAATACTTTTTCAAACATTTATCTACAGAAGTATACATAAACTCATTTAAAAAAGTAAAAATTGTAAGGTCTTCATTTACAAAATAACATTTTTAAAATATAATTTTTGAAGCTCTTAAGAACACACTTCCAGAATTGAATTTTCAGAAGTTTATTTTAACAGTTTTCAAAATTTTTTGAAAAGTAAACAATTAGTTCAAGCTTGTATGAATTGGACGTTTTAGTTTTTGAAAATTTTAAATTTTTGCAAGAATTTTTAACTTTATAAAATGTCATTTGTTTCAATCCATTCTCACTTTATTTTTCAATGTCATTTTGCAATATATATGAAGGACTATTGTTTTATAAAGTCAAGAATCAATTAAAAGTGTTTAAGGATATCAAAATAATAAAATGTTTGCTCCATACAATATTGAAGACAAATTTAAAGGACTTTTTTCTTTTGGGTCTACTATACAAATCTAAAGGTATATTCTATTGCAAAATGATAACAAATCTATGTCTGCACAAAGGGATGAAAAGCACTTACTGCTAAAGCCCAAGGAGCCCAACTGCATATAATTATTGATTAAAAAAAAAAAACTAAAGTGTAAATAGGTGGCAGATGATGGATGTGCAATTTAAAAAATATGATCACATGACAGTAATTAACCTTTATATACAATGAAAATAAATGTTCAATACTTGCTCAGTACAAACAAATAGAGTAGTTGAATACTATTATTCTTACCCCCACTTTATACGCAGTGTAAATTAAAATTACAACGATTTATTGAGAGAGAACAGTAAAAGATGGAAAATGTTGTTTGAACATCTAAAAGTTTGTGTTTATAGTAAAGGGTAAATTATAAATTTAATTTTTATATTTGACACTTTTTTTAATTTGATCTCTACATAAAAAATTATGATTTAGTCCTCATATAAGTAAATATTTTTAGATTAGTTTTTGTCTTTAAAAACATGTTAACAATGTTAGATGAGATGGATCGAAATATAAAAAAATATTTATATAAAAACTAAAACTTAAATGTTAATTATAGGGACTAATTTACAAATAAGTGTTAATTATAAAAATTAAATATGTATTTTAATCAATAATAAGAAGATAAACTATAAACCTGTTTATAATAGTAAATGAGGTGTCAAAAATTAACAAAATTTTAAGAGATTAAAAACTGATATCTTGAGGCAAACTTATATCTACTGTAATTTTATATCTTAAAAATAATAAAAAAATTATAAAGAAAAAATATTTTTTAAATATTTTATAAAAATTAATATACAATAAAAATTATAAAAAATTTAATGTTAATACTTTATTTATTCATTTGAAGATAAAATAAAATATAAAAATAAAAAATAATTAATTTCAACTCTAAGTTTAAGCAAATAAATATAATAAAATCATTTATTGAAATGCAATGCATGCATTATTTTTTTTAATAAAAAATTCTTATTTTTAGATGTTTAAACTCAACCCAAAAACAGTGATTAACAAAATCTTATAACTTTTATGAATTAATAGTTAAACACATTTTAAATATAAGATTAACATAACCCAACTTCCAAAAACTTAAATTAATATATTTTTTATTTTATATATTTATTTTTTCTTATATTCAAATAAACAAATAAAGAATCAGTATTAATATTTTTATTATAACTTTTATTAAATATTTGAAAAGGGCTTTTTCCTTAAAAAAAATATTTATTATTTTTAGGATATAAAACTGCAGTAAAGATAAGTATTTTTTTTACATTTCAATCTTTCTCATATAAAGCTTTAACACATTTTTAATCACAATAACTAATTTAAAAATATAACTCATATAAGAATTAAATTGTAATTTTTTTATACAAGAAATAAATTTAAAAAGTGTGTCAAATATAGATACTAAATTTGTAATTTAACCTAAACTAAAAAATAAATATATAAATTCCACTGATTATAAAATATTGGGAGTTGAAAAAAGGAAATAGTTAAAAGATAAATAACTAGAATTGCATCATGTTTGGGAAATAATTGTAACATTGTTTGTTTTGAAATGAAAGGGAAAAGACATTTACAAGGCTTTTGTCGATAGCAACATTGTTTTGATGTTGCTTTCCTTAACGCCTTCTTGTTCAGTCAATGGTTCACACATTTGTCTCAAAACTAGTCAATTTCATTGCCTTTTCGCTCAAACTCATTCATACTCTCTTTGACTACCCATTGCAATTTCCAATTTGCAAGTGCATTCCCCTTTTCTTTATTATTCTTTAAAACCCCTTTTTAAAGGAAGGATCTGACCCTCAAAAAATACAACCAAAACCATAAAATATTTGAAGTGCTACCTTCAATGATGTCCATGGTAATGATAAAGTTCAAGAAAAGGGTAAAAAGAAAATGGAAAAAAAAAAAAAAAAACCCTCCTTTAACTCTCCCATAACATAGTTTGTCTACTACAGTGAAACCATCTCTCTCTTTCTATTGCGATATATTTTAATAATAATAATAATAAATAATATAAATAAATTGACATTGATTTATAGTATATTAAAATTAAATTCTTTTAAAAACAGAAATATTATAGTAATGTAACTTTTTTTTTCAACTGAGGATTGTTTGGAAAGGAGAGTTTTAGACAATCTGAATTCTATTTGAGGATTATGTAAAAGGAAAAGAAAATGAAACACACAAGAGTAATCCTCCTCCAGTTTTCATTTAAGAAATATTGTCCACAATAGACCTAATAAACACCTCTATTTTTCAGAAATTGCATTTCTAAAACTTGTTTTTACAAATAAATAAAATAGAAAAGAGAAAAAGAAAAATAATGATTAATATAATAGAAAAAAAAGTTGTTAATGTTGTAAATATAAGTTGTGAGAATACCACTATTCTTTATTTTGTGTGGGTGTGTACTAAGAAATCTTTTAATTGATAGTTAAAAACGAACTTTTTGAGACAAGAATTATAAAAGCAAATCTTCTCACTTTTAACAAAAAAAAAATTCATACCCAAATCTTGAATTGAAGCCTATTTAATACATTAAAGAGCTACAATTATGTGTCAATTTTATCCAACTTGATTGTTTTCTGGGTTTTAAATAATTAGAGAAGTGGGGAATCCTAGGTCTTCACTTGCTATTATATTAAAAAATGTAGGTATAGAATGCTTTTTGTTGGGTTAAGAGATATGTTGCTAAGACTTGACTCAATCACTCAGAAAAGGAAGCTACCTATATATATAGATGAACTCAATTATTTGAATATTGATCCTTCCCAAACACTTAGTCTCTATTGGAACTTGGAAAGGTCGCATTTTCTCATTACTATAATCATTAGGACACAATTTTTATATTTCAAAATCACACAACATCACCCATACAAATGTACTAAACAATGGAGTTCAAAATTTGAGATTTCAAATCAGTACCAGAAATAAAAATGAATAGATAACTTTCTTTTTAACGAATGACTTGATGAATAATGATATTTGTTAAAGAATATACAAACAAGACCAAAAAAGCTATATGAAAATATAATTTTTTAATACATTTAAATGTTTAAAAAGTTTTACTTTAAATATTTTATTTTTAAATTATTAGTGAGTGTTCCATAGACGATAAGTAGTGTTTTTTAGTATATATTTGTTAAAAGAAATATGTTAAATTTAGTAGGATGATTTTTAAAAAATAAAAATGAAGAACTTTTATTGAAAAATAAAAAAATCACTATATAAAAAATATAAAAAATAATAAATATTATTATTTTCAATAAAAATTTACTATTTTAAATATTTATATTAATTTTAATGACTGATATTAATAAAACTAATATTAAAAAATAATTCTAAATTCTCATACCTGTTATTTCTATAATTCATTACACATAAATTAAATATTAAATATATTTTATATTTTTAAGATAATAAATATAATCTTTTTTGTTTAATGTTTACTTCATAAAGTAAGAGAAAGATTATTAAAAAGATAAATAGGAGAATATAACAAAACTCTTGTAAAAATCATAAAATGCAGTTTTTAATTTAAGGTTTAAATATAAATTTTAATTTTTTTAAATATATTAAATATAATTTTGGTCCTTATAAAAATATTTTTTTAGTCATTATATTTTAAAATTGTTAGTGTTTATCCTTCTCACTTATATAACTTTAAAAAAAATTAACTAATGACACGAAAATTAACATATAATAGCATATGATTTAAACATGTTATCATTTAATAGAGAGGAGGAAGTAAAGCAAATAATTTTTAACAAAATAGAACTAAAAATATACTTTATGAGAACTAAAATTAAAATTCAATATATTTTGAGAGATAAATATTTAACTATGAAACTAATTTCAATCAAATGTTAACTCTTATTTACAAGATTTTATGAGTTTTGAATTTATACCATCACGTAAAACTCATTTTTCTATTTGAGCCTATAATTTTACAAATACAATTCTCAGAGGTTGTTATTCATTTTCAGAATATCTAAATTTGTGAAATTCAACACAAGTAAATATTAAATAAGTTCAGCTACTTGTGTGGTTTGTTTTTTTTTTTGTTAAATTAGAAAAGTCAAATTGTTTATTTTTGCAAGGAAACAAGAGGCACAAAAAGAAGAGATTTTTTCATCCGTTAAACAAAACAATAATTATGGTAAATTTCAGCCTATAAATTAGATTCATTTTTCATTTAAAAAATGTAAGAGAAAACACAACAAATAAATACAAAGAGTTGTGAGTTGTGTTGTAGTGTGTGATTATTTAGGAGTTTTTTAAACAATCTTTCATCAATAATGAAGATGATTGTTTTTCCCAATTTCTCTTGTGTGATTGTTATTCTATTTTACCCAATAAGTGGTATCAAAGTTTCGGTTGAGGTTATGAGGAAGATAGAGTATTGAGTGAAATCACACTACCCAACAAGTGGTATCAGAGC